GTTAAACAAAATAGCTTTGTGTGTTCTCCCATATAGCTTGGAGCAGGGTTTCCCAAACTTGGGAGACATAAGCTGTTGTTGGACTACAGCTCCCATCATCCCTAGCTATCAGGAATGATGGGAACTGTAGTCCAAAAAACAGCCTCAAACCCAAATTTGGGACACCCTTGCTTGGAGAGCTCAAGCCTTCCAACCTCATGGGAATAAGAGGTTGAGGGCCTGTCGTGTGAGAGGCCTTGCTTTGCTTTTGTTTATTATATATTTTGTGTCTTCCTTTTGTATTTTTGTGTTGAGAACTGCCCTGTGATCTCTAGATGAAGAGTGTCGTGCAAATAAAATGGATTAATAATAATAATAATAATAATAATAAATTTATTATTTATACCCCGCTCATCTGGCTGAATTTCCCCAGCCACTCTGGGCGGCTCCCAATCAAGTGTTAAAAACAGTACAGCGTTAAATATTAAAAACTTCCCTGAGCATAGCTGCTTATTTCCTTCACATCTGAAGGAAATAAGCAAAATAATGATGATAATAATAATAAATAACTTATTATTTATACCCTGCCCATCTGTCTGGGTTTCCCCAGCCACTCTGGGGGGCTCCCAACAGAATATTGGAAACATTAAAACGTTGAAAACTTCCCTAAACAGGGCTGCCTTCAGATGTCTTCTAAAAGTCAGATACTTGTTTATCTCTTTGGCATCTGGTGAGAGGGCGTTCCACAGGGCGGGTGCCACTACCGAGAAGGCCCTCTGCCTGGTTCCCTGTAACCTCACTTCTCGCAGTGAGGGAACTGCCTGAAGGCCCTCAGAGCTGGACCTCAGTGTCCGGGCTGCATGATGGGGGTGGAGATGCTCCTTCAGGTATACAAAATCAGCCCGAGGCCTGGTTGAAGAGGAACTTTTTTGTCAGGTGAACATGAGCTTACATTCTCTTTCTCCCCTCTGGCCTAGGGGTGAACATGACGCTACGTTGGAGCTTCACCAATGGCTCTTCGTGGTGGAAGGAGCCCCTGCAGATCTGGAGCGGCGCCAGCGGTTATTCCTCGATGACGTCCCTGGATGGGGCTGCCCCGGAAGATGCTCACAGCCTCTTCATCATTTACGAGAAGGGGCGCCTCCAGTCCACTGAGAGCGTCTCCGTGGTCAAGATCAGCATCAACGGGGAGCTCTGACCGCACTTTTGGGCCCTCGGCCGTCCCTTCTCCCCTTGTGCCTTGTAGTCACACCTGAAGCTCTGTGACTGCTGGGTTAGGATAGAAGGGAATTCGTGGGGAGAAATCAGCAACGTTGGGTGGGAGGGCTCGGGGCAGCGATTTGAAGGGCATTTGGCAGAAAAATATTCTCTACAAGCCTTCCTAGTGGGCATGCAGGCCCAAGCCATTCCTTCCCCACAGTGACATTGGGGTTGCCGTTCTACCTCAGAAACACTCCTGATTTCAGATGCTGCTATTGAATTTCTGGGTGGGTGGAGGTTGCGAAGGCGAGGGGTGGGGATGGGGTGGGTTGGAGAGAGGAAGACTGATGACGACGGAAGTAGACTGATGAAGAAGCACACGGTTAATATTCATTGGTTTGTTTTCTTAGTGGGATCAACCAGAAAGAAGAAAGCCGGGAAGTTTTGCGACGAATTAATAAATTAATTGATGCACCTTTAACCTAACGTCTCTGTCAAATTTTAAAAACTTATTTCTTGTGAGAAGGAGCACCCAAAAACTGGATGCAAACAACCAGCCAGATACCCCTGGAAAGTTCACAAGCTGGCCACTTCCTGTCGTTCAACCCCGGCATCCATAACTTGAAACCTGGGCCTCCCGTTTATCCATCGGAACATACAGTAGTACCTTGGTTTACAACCACAATCCGTTCCAGAGGTCTGGTTGTAAACCAAAACAGGTTGTAACCCAAGCTGTGCTTTCGCCAATGGGGCTTCCAAAAAAGGAGGGTTGTAATCCCCCCCCAAATGGGTTGTAATAATAAAAAAAAGGACACACACTTCCAGGTTTGACGTGGTTGTAATCCGAAATGGTTGCAAACCAAGGTAAAGGGACCCCTGACCATTAGGTCCAGTCGTGACCGACTCTGGGGTTGCGGCGCTCATCTCGCTTTATTGGTCAAGGGAGCCGGCATACAGCTTCCGGGTCATGTGGCCAGCATGACTAAGCCGCTTCTGGCAAACCAGAGCGGCACACGGAAACGCCGTTCTCCTTCCCGCCAGAGTGGTACCTATTTATCTACTTGCACTCTGATGTGCTTTCCAACTGCTAGGTTGGCAGGAGCTGGGACCGAGCAAAGGGAGCTCACCCCGTCACTGGGATTCAAACCGCTGACGTTCTGATTGGCAAGTCCTAGGCTCTGTGGTTTAACCTACAACCAAGGTACCACTGTATAATAAAACCGAGCAATCAATCCATTCTGTGATAAACTGCCTCTAACCATGGAACCTCGTGGTGTATGGCCACAGAAAGACCGATAGATACATTTATCGAGTCTAATCCCTTTACAAAAGCCATCTAAGCTACATTGCCAGGATCAATCCAGGATGACATAGCACCTGGTGTTATTTTACTGATGATGTCAATTACAGGGCCTCCGTACAGCAGGCTGGCACTCCTCACTATCTCTTGAAGCAGATAAATGTGTAACCTTGCCTACAGAACAGGTAAGGGGAGGTATAGCAGGGTAGTTAAGCATTAACTGCTTCCTGAGCTCTTTTCAACAATCTTGACTTACGTCATCGAGGCCGATTCCTGGAACAAAGGCAACAAGCCAACCAGAACACACTGTCCTCCGGGTGCCTCACGCTTTAATCAGCAGCTATGTCGATTTTAAAGTTTTAACTGATTTTACCGAATCAGCTAGTTTTAACCGGTTGAATTGCCGTGAAGCACACTTGCATTTTTTAAATTTTTGTTTTGTTTTGGTATACAGTCGTACCTCTGGTTACGTACTTAATTCGTTCCGGAGGTCCGTTCTTAACCTAAAGCACCACTGTTCTTAACCTGAAGCACCACTTTAGCTAATGGGGCTTCCCACTGCCACCGCGCCGCTGCCATGTGATTTCTGTTCTCATCCTGAAGCAAAGTTCTTAACCCAAGGTACTATTTCTGGGGTGGTGGAGTCTGTAACCTGAAGCGTATGTAACCCGAGGTACCACTGTATTAATATAACAAGACATTTTGGACTTCCAACAATTCTGAATGATTCAGTACAGAGGAACTGGAAGTGCTTCCATAATTACGGTAAACTATGGAACTCATTTCCACAGGATGTAGCCACGGCCACAAACCTGGGCGGCTTTCCAAGAGGATTAACAAATTGTTTATTAAATAGAAACGGGCACCTACAATTCTGATACCTTGCTGAAAACTTTTTTGTTTTGCCACCTGGTTTTTTTAGAGGAATCATTTCGTTCTGTGTTGTTCCTTTGTCCTGCGTTTTATGATCTTATAACTGAACGACGTTTTCATTTTTTATTGGACGCTGCCATTAATAGATTTACGAGCTGGCAGTTTTTGAGTACTCTTAAGAAATAAATACAATAAATAAACTTCTATATCGGACTTCCTTCTGATCCTACAACTTAAGTGGATGAGCAGGCAGCGTTGGGCAAAGGTCAGTCTTGCAGTCCTCGGAAATGACGAGGCGGCAGTTTCAGGCGTCCTGTTTATCAAGACTGTGCCTTTCTCGATTTGTGCTTCAGCAGGCGCTGTGGATTAAACCACAGAGCCTAGGATTTGCCGATCAGAAGGTTGGCGGTTCGAATCCCCGTGACGGGGTGAGCTCCCGTTGCTCAGTCCCTGCTCCTGCCAACCTAGCAGTTCGAAAGCACGTCAAAGTGCAAGTAGATAAATAGGTACCGCTCCGGCGGGAAGGTAAACGGCGTTTCCATGCGCTGCTCTGGTACGCTGTACGCCGGCTCCCTCGGCCAATAAAGCAAGATGAGCGCCGCAACCCCAGAGTCGGCCACGACTGGACCTAATGGTCAGGGGTCCCTTTACCTTTACCTAGCAGTGATCTAGGTTGCTCTCTTAAGGAGGCAAGGCAATGGTGCTTAATTTAATGGATTGCTTTCATACTATCACACCCTTTCTTTCCTCAAGGGAGCACCAAGCAAAGTGCAAGCTGCTCTCCTCCTTTTAAGTTCACAGCAACCCTGCATGATAGGAGAGGCAGAGGCAATGACCAGCCAAGGCCCCCTAGCGAGCTTTTTGGCAGTGCAGGGATCTCAAGCTGGCTCTCCCTGCTCCGTCCGACAAGCTGCCTACGGTGGGGGTTGCTTCCAAATAACCTGTTTGTCAACCACACCCACCCACCCAATTTGTTGGTACAAGGTTTGCGAGGAAGTTAGGCAACATCAGATATTTATCTGGCATTCCTTCTGATTTGCTTGTGAAGAGGTTAGACAACGTTGCATCAAGGTATGTGTCAAGGGTTGGGCTAGATGACCCACAGGGTCCCTTCCAACCTTGCAATTCTGTGACTCATCCCACACTTCCCATTGCATTTGCCCTTGGCTTTCCTCACTGCAAAAAAAAGTCTGATATTTTAGTTTGTGGTGCGAAACCTCTCAACCGACTATAATTGCACAACCCTGAATTGACCGGGAACATGATTGAATCCCGCTCGAAAATAGTGACAGTCGATTGGGCAGCTCCCAATCGAGTGTTAAAAACAATACAGCATTAAATATTAAAAACTTCCCTGAACAGGGCTGCCTTCAGATGTCTTCTGAATGTCAGGTAGTTGTTTATCTCTTTGACATCTGATGGGAGGGCGTTCCACAGGGCGGGCGCCACTACTGAGCAGGCCCTCTGTGTGCTTCCCTGTAACCTCACTTCTCGCAATGAGGGAACCGCCAGAAGGCCCTCGGAAGCGTGAATGCGTGCGCATTCCGATATAAAAGCACACGAGAGAAGTCCTTGCAATTTGGCCATCTGTAACAGTTAAGGACTGCAAAGCGCCAACAGGACGGCACAGAAAAAGGAGGGCACTAGGACCTTGCGCTGCCTCGCTTGGGTGTTGTGGTACCCAGTTCAGCGGATGCAAGAAGATCAGCTGTTTTGGGAGCATCATTGCTAGGGAACCATGGCCAGCCAGACACAGGGAATCCAGCAGCTGCTGCAGGCTGAGAAGAGGGCTGCCGAAAAGGTGGCAGAGGCTCGGAAACGTGAGAGGGGGCTTCTATTTTAAGGGGGGGGAGATGGGGGGTTTGAGGAGGACCAGCATGCCTGAGTTCTCTGATAAAGGATAGCTGTGCAGTCATCACAGAGGGGAATGAACTAGAATTTTTTTGGGGGGGGGGGGCTTTGGATCCATTCCCCAGTTTCCTTCTCTTGCCCGGGACAAGCGCAACCCTAAAAATACAGGCCTGGAGAGGCAGGTAATGTTCTTTCCACCTGACCTTCAATGTCTGTCTCGCCACCTCCATCCCAGGAAAGGCCCGGAGGCTGAAGCAGGCCAAGGAAGAAGCCCAGGCTGAAATCGAGCAATATCGCTTGGAGCGTGAGAAAGAGTTCCAGCAGAAGCAGCAGGCGGTAAGATTTATTGAGGGGTTTTTTTTAAATGGGTGGGGGGAATTGAGAATGGAGGATGAGTCATGGGAGGAGGAGGCAGACGGGAAGAACAGCGTCGGAGGGGTGGGGAAGCGATTCCAAATGGTCTAGGGTAACCTTCGTGATTCCCCTCCCACTTAAAATTGGGAATTTGGGGATCAGGCAAGGGTTATTTTTAGGAAAGGGAAGAATTCAGGGCAGCCCCTGTCCTAAGGTGGTACAGAGGATGAGGCAGGTTTGAAGGAGGCAGGATGAGCTGTTTACCTCCTAAGAGGCCGCTGCACAGGCAAAATGGATGGCTGTGGGAGAGGGAAGAGAATGGTTTACTACTTGTGCTAGATGTAGCTCAGTGACAGAGCATTGGCTCTGCATGCAGAAGTGCCCGGTTCAAATCCTGGCATCACCAGGTAGGGTGGGGAGAGATTCCTGCCCCAAATGCTACACAGCCTCTGCCAGCTTGTGTGGATGATACAGAGCTTAATGGACCAAGGGTGTAAGGCAGCTCCCTATGTAAAAGAGGATTGGGTAGCCCATTTAGGGTCGTTTTCCAGACCTCCTTATGGCAGAGATGGATTAGGGCAGGGATGGATTAGGATGGGACGCGGGTGGCACTGTGGGTTAAACCACAGAGCCTAGGACTTGCTGATCAGAAGGTCGGCAGTTCGAATCCCCGCGATGGGGTGAGCTCCCATTGCTCGGTCCCTGCTCCTGCCAACCTAGCAGTCTGAAAGCACATCAAGTGCGAGTAGATAAATAGGTACCGCTCCGTCGGGAAGGTAAATGGCGTTTCCGTGCGCTGCTCTGGTTCGCCAGAAGTGGCTTAGTCATGCTGGCCACAGGACCCGGAAGCTGTATGCCGGCTCCCTCGGCCAATAAAGCGAGATGAGTGCTGCAACCCTGGAGTCGGTCACCTTTACCTTGGTTTGCCATGTGATCCCTTCCCAATGTTGCTAGAGCATGGTTTAGACCACGCAGGTGGCGCTGTGGTACAAACCACTGAGCGTCTTGCGCTTGCAGATCAGAAGGTCGGCGGTTCAAATCCCCACGAAGGAGTGAGCTCCCGTTGCTCTGTCCCAGCTCCTGCCAACCTAGCAGTTCGAAAGCACGCCAGCACAAGTAGATAAATAGGTACCGCTGCGGCGGGAAGGTAAACGGCATTTCTGGTTTCCGTCATGGTGTCTCGTTGCACCAGAAACGGTTTAGTCCTGCTGGCCACACGTGCCAGAAAGCTGTCTGTGGACAAACGCCAGCTCCCTCGGCCTGAAAGCGAGATGAGCACCGCAACCCCATAGTCGCATTTGACTGGACTTAAGCGTCCAGGGGTCCTTTACCTTTTTTTACCTAGAGCAAAACACCCATTGTCCCTGGCTACCGACCATGCTGGCCGAGGGGAGTTTTAGCCCTATATCTGGAAGACACAACATTGGCTACCCCAGGGCTCCGCATACAGAAGCCAGTTAAACTAGCAGCTGAATCTTACAGAGGGGTAGTACTTCTAGTGGAGAAAACGTCATGGTCCTTCTGGGGTGGTTTGTCCACCTTTGGTCCCCATCATGCATCCAGCTCTCACCTCCTAGAAGCTGTCAGCATGTGACAGCAGCCACCCCCCAGGAATGGGTTCGATTGGCTGGCTAAACCAGGTGAGGGCAGCTGATGGGTTTCAACCCCTCAAGAAGAAGAGTTTGGATTTGATATCCCACTTTATCACTACCCGAAGCGGCTAACATTCTCCTTTCCCTTCCTCCCCCACAACAAACACTCTGTGAGGTGAGTGAGGCTGAGAGACTTCAGAGAAGTGTGACTGGCCCAAGGTCACCCAGCAGCTGCATGTGGAGGAGCGGAGACACGAACCCGGTTCCCCAGATTACGAGTCCACCGCTCTTAACCACTACACCACACTGGCTCTCAATGCATGATTAGAGACTTTCCGTGCATGCAGAGATGTGTAGTGAGCAGATGTGACCAACAGTGTGTCCACCGGTGAAGAAAGCATTTTCTGCATGAACCGTGGAGGGAAGTGAGGGGCAGATGGGGCTCGTCAACCTGGGAAAGGAGCCCATCTAGCAGAAGGAAAACGCTGATCCTAAACCTCCAGTGCCTTGGGGGAGATCTTCAGGAGAAGAAAGTAACCTTACGCAAATCTGGAGTGGTGTTATGTATTGAAGTGCTCACCTGGCCACTGGGGGTATTGTGTATATAGTTTTCACTCAGGTTTACGTCAGTTAATTTAGGCGGGAAACCCTGGGGTGTTGTTGTTACAATGTTGACAGCCGGCTGCCTATAAAAGCAGAACCGGCTGAGCTGTTCAGTTCAGTTCAGTTCCAGCTTAGTACAGTGGTGCCTCGCAAGACGAAATTAATCCGTTCCGCGAGTCTCTTCGTCTAGCAGTTTTTTCGTTTTGCGAAGCAACCCTATTAGCAGCTTAGCGCTATTAGCGGCTTAGCAGCTATTAAAGGCTTAGCGGCTTAGCGGCTAAAAGGCTATTAGCAGCTTAGTGGCTTAGAAAAGGGGGGGGAGTGGAAAAAAAATCGCAACACTCGCAAGACGTTTTTGTCTTGCGAAGCAAGCCCATAGGGAAATTCGTCTTGCGAAGCAGCTCAAAAACGGAAAACCCTTTCGTCTAGCGGGTTTTCCGTCTTGCGAGGCATTCGTCTTGCGGGGCACCACTGTATAAAGAACCACTTGGAGAAATCTCTGTGTCTTCTGCTATGTCCACCCACTACTTAATACTGGCGATGAGGATGGGATTGGATGGACATCAGGGCACAGCCAGATTCGGACACTCACTGAGCTGAAACACTGAGTGAAATCACTGAACATAACCCAATTCAGAGCTGACCATTCTGGCTAGAGCACTGTGCTCCATCCATCGCCCTCCACGCTGGCATTGGAACCATGGCTCCATTCGTGCCTCTACTGCCATTCGCCCCAGCCTCTGAATCATGGGACTCCTACCTCGCTCGGTTCGCCTGCTTCCTCCAAACAAACAAGCTGGTGGAAGGGTCAGAGGAGTGTAAGCGGGGCCTATTCCTCAGCCTCTGTGGGCCCAAGGTGTTCAAGACAGCCCAAGTATTAGCAACTGGCAACAGGATAGCACCCACCAGAACACGCATGGGTAGCAAGCTAGCTTAGGGAAGGCTGCAAGTGGCACATACCAGCCCTGTCCTTTAGGGCCTTGCCGCCGCTCGCTACCGCTCACCTTCCACCTGAGGCAAGTGGCTCACTCTGTCTAATGGTAGGGCCAACTCTGGTGGTTCCCCAGCACCCTCCCCGTCCAATGGCATGGCACCTCTAAACACTGAAGTATCATATAGATATCCTGGCTGCTAACCATCCGAATTCTTCCATCCCAGTGCTGGAATATCTGATTTGCGGATGACGCTGACCTCACAAGAAATGCACTTCCTTGGGCTCCGGGAAGAAATTCTAAAGGAAGCTGACACTTGCTGTTTAGACACGGCTATGATGTCAAGATACAGGGACGCGGGTGGTGCTGTGGGTTAAACCACAGAGCCTAGGACTTGCCGATCAGAAGGTCAGCGGTTCAAATCCCTGCGACCGGGTGAGCTCCTGTTGCTCGGTCCCTGCTCCTGCCAACCTAGCCGTTCGAAAGCACACCAGTGCAAGTAGATAAATAGGTACCGCTTTGGCGGGAAGGTAAATGGCATTTCTGTGCGCTGCTGTGGTTCGCCAGAAGTGGCTTAGTCATGCTGGCCACATGACCCGGAAGCTGTATGTCGGCTCCCTCGGCCAATAAAGCGAGATGAGCGCCGCAACCCCAGAGTCGGCCATGACTGGACCTAATAGTCAGGGGTCCCTTTACCTTTACCTTTATGACGTCAAGATAGACTTCACTACTTACCTGTACCTTCAGGTGCTATCATAATTCATAACTTTGTTGTCTCTCTCTCCCGTCCACAGGCTCTGGGCTCGCAAGGGAACCTGTCTGCTGAGGTGGAAGCCCAAACCCGCAAGAAACTGCAGGCGATGCAGGGAGGACAGGCCCGGGGCAAGGATCGGGTCCTGCGACAGCTTCTCACCATTGTTTGGGACGTGCGACCCCAAATACACCCCAATTACCGCACAGCTGCCTAGTTGACCCATCGGCCCAGCCTGCAGTTGCTATCGAGGGGACCTTACTGACCAGCATCAAACATATATAACGTCCCTGATTCCTAAAAGCAGTGGTGCAGTTAAATAATTTTATCTCGGCCCTTAACGGTGTTTTGGGAACTATTTAGATGATGATGATTTCACCTTAATAATAATAACTGTTGCTCCCAGCTACTCTGGGCAGCTTCCAACACATATAAGAACATAATAAAACATCAGACATTTAAAAACTTCCCTTTACAGGGCTGCCTTCAGATATCTTCTAAAGGTTGTAGTTACTGATCTCCTTGACATCTGATGGGAAGATGTTCCACAGGGTGGGTGCCACTACCGAGAAGGCCCTCTGCCTGGTTCTTAGGCATATGACTTTAAAGCACGTGATATCCCCCAAATAATCCTAGAAACTGAGGTTTGTTCATGGTGTCCAGTGGCGTAGCGTGGGTTGTCAGCACCCGGGGCAAGGCAAGTAATTTGCGCCCCCTAACCCGTGGAGCCAGGTAGGGGCAGAGAGCTGTGAGTGTGAGCGCCCCCCCCCCCGATGTTGCGCCCGGTGCGGCCGGCCCCCCCTGCACCCCCCACGCTACGCCACTGATGGTGCCGGGAATTGTAGCCCTATGAGGGGTAAGCTGCAGTTCCCAGGATTCTTGTTTGGGGGTGGGGAGTCATGTGCCTTCATTCAAAATATGATAAGCCAAACTCTGCTGAGCGCAGCGCAGAACTTCTTCCCTAGAATCCTACACTGACAGCACCACTGCCTCAAGTTCTAACTTTACATGCTCCTAGAACCTCTGTTCCTCCCAATCTCCAGCACATTTCAGCTTCCTGTGCTCCTATAATCCCCCACCAATATATATATTTTTTAATACTGTACTTCTATCATATCTCAAATCTAAGGCTGAAAATAGCACACGATGGTTATCACCATTCCATTAGACTGAAACAGCAAGCTGGTGGCAGGAAAATTTACTGAGTTTTATGGATGCTCTCAACCTTTTATCAGCAAGAGTAAGGAAGATTTTTCAAACTGGGAGCCATGTTTTCTTGTGGGCAACCTGCTGGGGCAAAACTGGGCAGAGCAACAGACTTTTTGCCTTCGTACAATAGGCTGCATTCCAGCCACAAAAAACAGAGGTTTCTACAGAGCTACACATCTCTCTAAACAGGCAAACAATAGGCACAATCAAGGACAAATTCCAGTCAGGCAAAAACACTCAAGCATGGAGCAAAGCAAAAGAGAGAGTGTGGCTTGAAAAAAGCCCTGAGGCCCATATAGGGAAGTGTGGAGGGCCTGAGGTTCCATATCCCTGCTCTAGAAAAGCTTTATTTTGTCTCTACATAGTTCCCTGTTTCTCTGTTCCCACAATATATATATATTTAAGGGCAGTAAGGTCCCCTTAACTGAGCCCTACAAAATGGGTCCATCACCTTCCACATCACAGTTCTCGGTTCCTCTCTCTGTTTTGCTGCACCCCGTGGCATGAAGGGGTATGTTGAGAAAACTGGGGCAAAAGCGTTCTTGGGAGTGCCCCCTCGCTTCCTGCTGGTGTCTGTATGTGTGCCGAAACTATAGCTCCTCATTTTTGTTCTGCTAGTGACTCCTCCCTGGTTCCACCCTCCCCACAAATGTACAACTGGACATTTCAATAGTCACTTCCAAACATTATTAATAAAAAGTATCATTACGGTTGAAATGGATTGTTGTTGTTTAGTCGTTTAGTCGTGTCCGACTCTTCGTGACCCCATGGACCAGAGCACACCAGGCACTTCTGTCTTCCACTGCCTCCTGCAGTTTGGTCAAACTCATGCTGGTAGCTTCAAGAACACTGTCCAACCATCTTGTCCTCTGTTGTCCCCTTCTCCTTGTGCCCTCCATCTTTCCCAACATCAGGGTCTTTTCCAGGGAGTCTTCTCTTCTCATGAGGTGGCCAAAGTATTGGAGCCTCAGCTTCAGGATCTGTCCTTCCAGTGAGCACTCATTTGTCCATGGAGTTTTCTTGGCAGGGATACTGGAGTGGCTTGCCGGTTCCTCCTCCAGGTGGATCACGTTGGGTCAAAACTCTCCACTATGACCTGTCCATCTTGGGTGCCCTGCTTGGCATAGTTCATAGCTTCTCTGAGTTATTCAAGCCCCTTTGCCACGGCAAGGCAGTGATCCATGAATGGATGAAATGGATTAAAAAGTGCTTATTATACATCTGTGGAGTGAGACCCCCTGGTATCTGAGGGAGATGGGTCAGTGTCAGCAGGTGAAATAATGTGACTAGTATTTGTTTTAAAATATTTTTATTTATTTATACGGCTTGGTACCTGCTCTTCAACATAAGGTCTCATGGGCAGGTTACAATAGACATTTGAGGGTAAAGAAGGTGCTTTCAAGGTGCCTTCAAGGTAAAATGCGCACACAGCCCATATCGGAGAGATAAGTCACTGGCTATAGGGGCAAGACAAGAGTCATATACTATTGCCCTATTGCCTTAATAGCTCAAGTACAGGGTTGTACCCTAAAGCTGCAGTCCTAAACCTGGGAACATATCCCATTCAATTAATGTAAGATAATTCACTATGTAAGATAACAACAACAACAACAAATTTTATTTATACCCTGCCCTCCCCAGCCAAGACCAGGCTCAGGGCGGCTAACCCCAAATATAAAAACAATTGATTGAAATACAGCTTAAAAAACAAGATTAAAATACAACATTAAAACATTAAAATGCAGCCTCATTTCAGTGGAAACTCAATCAAAAAATTTTGGGGGATAAAAACATCAAGTCTTCACCAAGGCTAACTATCCAGACTGGTCTTACACGGGCCAGAAAAAAGCCAGGGAAGTCCCCGGATAGGAGTTCCAACACAGAAGGAGAAAGGAAAAATGATAACCCCTCATAATCATCCCAATATTAAAAGTGTGTAGCTGAGAGAACGGAACAGGTCTACTGTGATATTTAAACCCGGAATACTAATCCTGCATAATACCATGACGCTATGGGAATAGGGAGAGAAGCATTGTGGGAGCTATTTCAGCGGGATCTGTACTGAGTTGTATTTACTCCCATCCAGTTTTTAACATGTGTCCCCTACAATAAAAGGTAAAGGTAAAGGTACCCCTGCCCGTTCGGGCCAGTCTTGCCAGACTCTAGGGTTGTGCGCTCATCTCACTCTATAGGCCGGGAGCCAGCGCTGTCCGCAGACACTTCCGGGGCACGTGGCCAGCGTGACAAGCTGCATCTGGCGAGCCAGAGCAGCACCCGGAAACGCCGTTTACCTTCCCGCTGGTAAGCGGTCCCTATTTATCTACTTGCACCCGGGGGGTGCTTTCGAACTGCTAGGTTGGCAGGCGCTGGGACCGAACGACGGGAGCGCACCCCACCGCGGGGATTCGAACTGCCGACCATGCGATCGGCAAGTCCTAGGCACTGAGGCTTTACCCACAGCGTCACCCGCGTCCCTGTCCCCTACAATAGCGTAGGCTAAAAGCGAACCACATGGACGACACTTTATGAAGAAGCAAAAGTCTTTATATACAGAACTTCGGAAGTCGTAGAAACGAGACTTTAGACATGTCTCCATCCAGACGGCAAGAGAAATTCTAAAAGAAGCGGGTTTCAAGAGAAAACAATTGGTTTCATCTCAGGAACGAAGCATGCAATCTTCACGTTAATGAAAGAAAGCAGGCCGCGTGGAGAACACCACGTGGAATTATGGGAGCTGGAAGTCTGCGAGGGCCCCTGCTCTTAAATCTTCCTTATTCCAAACTTCCAAAAGAAATAAGCAGACTAATCTGGGGCAGAACCAAGAATGCAATGTGCTTCGAAGTCCCACCCAAGAGAATGAGGTCATAATCAGGGGGCTTGTTGCACCTGCTTGATGCTTTTGCTTGCTTGGCTGTCTATAAATGCAAGGTGCAAGGCAGAAACTACCCCGCCCATTGTTATTGGGCTAGATCTCCTTTCAGCCCTGATCACTGCCAATGCTGGCAGGGGCTTGTGAGAATTGAAGCCCCATAACATTTGAAGGGCACCCTAGCTGGTTCTCCCTGGTGTAGACAATGCTGAGTTGAAGGGGTCCACAGCCTTGATTCTGTATATTTAAGGCAACATTTTAAAATAAGGTGAACACAGGAAGAATGTGACCGTTTATGTTGTAGCTCTGAGACACCAATTGATGTATAAATTGAGGTTTGGCTTTTGCAGCCCAACTCCCCATGGGACTCTGAGTCCCCTAAGTCCTTGATCAGTCCGAGAAGAATGGATGGAGACAGGATCTAGTGGAAAGCAAGGCAGTTATTTATTTATTTTTCTGTTGCAACAGAGTTCCCTCTCCTTCCAAGGAGGGAGAGACCCTGAGAGACCCTCTGCAGGAACCTTTAAAGACTTTTGACATTGCCCAACTCATTAATCAAAGACCACCCCAAAATAATCATACATACATCATAGGAGGCGGTCTACAGCAGAAATCCTGTCTGCCAGGATACCTGATAATGGTCACTGATTGCATTACCTGGGCAACCTGGACATTTTTTGTGTGATGGTTAATACTTTAGTTCCTGAGTCCAGGTCACAGACTCATCCTATTCATACACAAATACGCCCTTTAGACAGGATTTGTAAGCAAAAAGACTATTTGCCTACCTTACTGTAGAGCATGGGTAGGCAAACTAAGGACCGGGGGCCTTCTAAATCTGGCCCGCGGACTGTCTAGGAATCAGCGTGTTTTTGCATGAGTAGAATGTGTCCTTTTATTTAAAATGCATCTCTGGGTTATTTGTGGGGCCTGCCTGGTGTTTTTACACGAGTAGAAGGTGTCCTTTTATTTAAAATACATCTCTGGTTTATTTGTGGGGCTTAGGAATTCATTCATTTCCTCCCCCCCCCAAAAAAAATATATGGTCTGGCCCCCCACAAGGTCTGAGGGACAGTGGACCGGCCCACTGCTGAAAAAGTTTGCAGACCCCTGGTAGAGGAATATCTGAGGGAGTCAAAATGGTTTCAGGATTGCTCTCCCATACTATTTCACGACACATGGTTTTTATATATTTCGATATGTGTGTATTTATGAATATTCTATATTTGAGACCTTAGAATTCTTATAACACTGTGAAAGGTTGAAACTAAAGAAGGCGCCCGTGTGGGAAACTCTTTTGTTACTACTTGTTTCCTCTTGCGATCTTAACAGTTTGCACGGCAGGTATGCAACTCAGCAGGGTGCAGATTCCCAG